CGCAGCGCTACTGTATCTGTCGCCTGGAGTCTGGCAAAGTTGCCAGTCTTCGGTTTTTCTTAAGTTTTGATGTGTTCGGATTAGATAAAGAGAGCTAAAAGTGCTTGAGAGAGAAGCATTAGAAATGGACGTAACGACTCCGGAGGCCAAGGAAAACTGTGAAAGCAAGCGATGCCCAAAAAAACAGGAGCCATGGATCATCTTCGACTGTGGTGTTGAAAGTTCTTCGACTGTTGTCCGACTCAGGGAGCGAATATTACATAACAAGCGCTAATGTCTTCCTTGATTTCTTTGCAGACTTTGCTTACCATGACTGTATGCATAGGAGATGACAAAGTGCATAACGAAGAAGAATTTTGTCTTTTTGCTGAACCCAACACTGAGTGGCGCTCTTTGCGTTGGTGTCGTCGGAGCGATGGATACACATTGAGTTTTCGTTATTTCTGGGTGTGTGTCTGTTCTCTTCTCTACTGCTTTACACTTACGCAGAGTGAAAGGCAAACAAACTTTGTGTTTGCTTGAGTCTCACTTTGTTTATTTCATAAATTCAGTACATTGCGCGCATTGAGTGATCAGATGCCAGCCCTGGATAGATGTGGAGAAGGGCTTCCCTTACCCGAGCAGGAACGAATATCTCGATACCTTAAATTGGTATGGATGAGCCTGACATAAGAGGTAAAATACCAAAAAAATAATACCAAAAAAATGTTCCCACAATACCATTCCAATACCAATATTACGATAATGCAATACCAAAACTGTTGCTTCGGCAACAGAAGGAAAACGCAATCCAGTTTTTAACGTTTATTCTTGGAGGAACGGTTAAAGTTTTCTGCAGACGTGATTAACAAATTATTAATGGCCATATAATTAACCTTACGTTTTGTGCTGGTTTCCGGTTCGCTATCCGGATCGTCGTAGCGGTATACGTCAGCTTACAACAAATCCACGCTGGAGGAGGCTGGGTTCTATTCACGGTTCGGTCTAGGAATTTTTTGGGTTGAAAAATTTATCAACTTTCTTGGGCATAGGAATATGATTGTACTTGCCACACAATTATACTAATGCAAAAATTGTACAGGCATCGAAAGCTCTCAATTATTAACCGTGGAAGTGCATCTAGAGCACTAAGTTGAGAGTACGCAATAAGCTAATATGCGATGAGCAATAAGCTTAACTGAAGAAGAAGAAGAAGAAAAAGAGGAAACAGAAGAAGCAGGATAATAATGAGAAGAAGAAGATATGAAAGAATAGAGTTAATAGTTCCGTTATAGTACAGCAGTGTGAACATTGTATATAGAAAGTAGAAAGCGAGCAAAGGACAATTTTGAGGAAGGTACAGGTAGTCGTACTCAGGGGTTGAAACAGTTGACGTTTTTTACTACACTCGCTTCGTTGTCGTGCGCGACAGTCTGTTTGTATTCGAACACTCATGCTCTACCGTCGTCTCTATCACACAACACGAGCGGTAGAATAACATTCGAGGTAAAAGAAAATTATCAAAATAGCTATCATATGACATGTGTGATTTCGTTGTAATTCCTCAATTTGGTGTAAATCAAACCATTTCTGATCAGAAATATTATTACTAGGACATCATAGCTTGCTATTTTCAGAATTCACACAAGCACACCATCAGCAGCTCTTATTATGAGAAAAAACTAAAATACATACATTCGTGACGGTCTTCGGCGACAGTGTCGTATGACAGAGCCTGTCATATGACATTTTAGTTTGGTACTGTACTATGATAGCTTGTTATGCAAGTGACGGAGGCAAAGGCAGTCAATTATCACAGAAAATGTGTCGACTACCGTGACCGCTTACAAGACTGGTCGTACTAGCTACTTCCAACGTTAGAGACATAGGGAGACCAGTGATGTCTGCGAGAAATGACGCACTGATTTCCAGTTGTATACACAATATTGAGATTGAGAGGGTTGACTGTAAATGTATTTTAAAACTGCTCAGAATTAACCCACAGCATATTCAGCACAGCGGTCAACTTTCACTCAATTTTGCGATCAACTAAGTACGTGGCCGAATTGACTTAAAAAAATCATAAAATAGCGTTACATTTACTAAACGTTTCCTTAGGGAAATTTTGTTCATCATGCAGCATATTTTATTTTGAGCAAAATTATTAGTTTTGACCCGCTTATAAACATAAACGATAACATGTGCCATAATCACTTACGTGATGTTTGGAAATTTTTCAAATAATTGAAAGAAGACTCTTTCTGATTTCTTCCTTGTGGCCCGATCCTTAAACAATCCAAGTGTAATCTTTTAACACGGAGTCTAAACTTTATACTCGACTTTAAATTGCTAATGCCATTTGGAGCACTTACTCTTGAAATGCAATATCATGAGGCCGCCATCTTGGATTTCAAGATGGCATCAGACATCGATTTCCAGTCTCCATACGTCATCCCGATTCCGAAAATACCCATATTGAAGGGTATTTGACTGTAGGTATTTCCCAGTTTCTATATAACCAGAAGCCGCCATATTGGATTTCAAGATGGCATCGGTCATCGATTTTCGGACTCTAGGCGTCACCCCGATACCAAAAATACTAATATTGAAGGGTATTTGTCAGACTTCAAAATGATTTCCCGTTCCTTCGCTACCAATATTGTCAATCAAAATATGTGACAACTATTCTTTATGAACAACAGTCTCTTAATACAAATATATTATTTACTCGCCTTTTTGGGAGCACTGCTACACAGCAAAAAAATAATTTTGATATCACGTCAAAGTGGATGCACTACAATCATGTCGAAAATATGGTGTAATATTACTTGCTAAAAAGGACAAAATTATCATTTATACAATGCATGAACTGACATTACGCTGCTTTTACTGCATTTGTTTATTTATGTGGTCATAAAAATTACATGAAATTTTCGACATGATTGTAGTGCATCCACTTTGATGTGATATCAAAATTATTTTTTTGCTGTGTATTTAATTCTTGACACTGGTGTGAACCAAGAACGGTATTTCCGGTTTTGGTTTCATAGATTTAATCCATGCACACCGTTCAGATCTCTTTAACCCAAACCAAAATTTTAGCACACCGGTTGTCGGTTTTCAAGCTGCGGTTCTGTGCATCAACTCGACAACCGGCAGTCGGTTTTGATTTAGATCGCCAAGTACACGAAAACTCCAACGCATCAGCGTGCACTAGCGTGGCCCACAAAAATAAAAGTTCTAATTTTCCACGGGTCAACCCCTAAATTTGAGCCTATAGGTGAGAAACCCACTATCCGAAAGTTTAAGCTCATTTGATTCTAAGATGTGCTGGCGCTTTTAGTTTGAAACTTCATTTATAAGCAACTCTTTCATCAGATGAGCTTAGCTAACTGAAAAAATGAAGATATCAGGTTTATTAAATTTTATCTTTGTGCACTTTTAAGTTTTTACCTGAAAATGGATCACTGTGGAATGAAGTCATGCATAACCAGGCGGCCAGAAATCGCTCCAGTCAGTATCAATAAGCACCTATCACAGTCATCATAAATTTTTTCACGACATAAATTATGATAATTGTAGGCTTTCGCATTGATTTATCGTACGAAGAACTTCGTAAAGTAAAGAGCCGTAGCTGCTGGCGGGTTTCGTTCTCCGCAGGTCTGTATTACTGGATAGGTAGGCACACGTCAGGAAGATCATATCTCATTGTATCGGCACTTTGCCCAGATGCAAATTGGCACAAAAAAGATTGGCACTTTTCCATACTTATATGGCTGCTTGGTTGGTGGCTCGTTAGTTACTATACCTTAACTAGGTGTTGAAATCAGCATATGTACGCGCAATGGTGTGACATGAGGTCGGAGAAGCGATGAGATGAATTTGTGCTCTGTTTTGGTACGTTGTTTTTCGCCGCTGGTGTCTACTTTATGAAGTCTAATGTGTATTTTATGATCCCTGGGGTGTATGAAATGCGGAACTAAGGTTATGCTTTTGACAATACAATGAATTGAAGATAAAGTTCTTCTTCTTCCTGGATTATCACAATATTACTGGAACTCATTCCTGCCGGTCTTTTGAGCACATGAAAGCGAGGTGTGTTGTAAGCTCAATTATGCTCATCAGCTGCAATTCAATAACCGTATACTTGTGATAGATTCAAATGTCTATTACCCATATAGTTTGACTCTAAGATATGCTCAAAATATTAAGATTACACTAAATTTCACTGCATTATAAATTGTATATTTTTCCATAGTTTATGTCATACAGAAATATGTATGTAAACCCCTTAGCTATTTGGTGGGTGATCCCCAGGTTTTTCTGACAAAACGTTATCTAAAAATCAGTCATATGTATATGTTAAATCACAAAATATCCCTACAAACTTTTAATTCTTTTACGCGACCCATAAACCTTTATCACAGGCTTACGGGAGAACAGTCCATAATGTCCTGGGGTAAAATGACCCCGAATGGTTTTTCGTTGCTTTCCCATTATTTGACGTAGCATATTTTTGTTCAATTTTAGACCCCCACCCCGCGCGCAGTTTGTTTTGCTATACCTAATACATGGCCGGTCACAGCTTCTGAAACATATCTCTTCCTCTTCAAAATGCTACGTCATTTATGCATGTTCCCGAAATATGTAATGTTTTGATTTTTAATTGAATATTACATTTTACGAACTTTTTTTTACCCAACATAAGCTCCATGAAGGGATGTTTTGGGTTGTTTTCATCGACCATTTCTCTAACATCCGTATGGAAATTAACAACAATTCCATGTTGTTAAATATAAGGTAAAAACGGGGTGGGTTCAAACTCAAAACTAATGCTTTGTTTACAAACGACGTGAACAGTTTTGGGGAGATTTTAGACCCCCAATCCCCTGATTCCTGCCTATTCTTTACAAACTATAAAAAAAGTTGATTGGAAACTTATTTAATTATTAGAAATTTAATTAAAAAATCAACAATAGCCATTTGGGAGTGAAGCAACACGATGCTGTCTGGGATTTGTGGACAAATAGACACACCACCATTTCACTGGTTTCGCTTTTTATTGATTTCATCTCATTGCGCTTATACGTCTACACTATGATTCATTGCCGGTTAGAAAATTAATGTTACACTTGTTACGATCCTATCATAAAGTCTAGCAGCACCGCCTATTCAACCAAAGGGGCAGCATTGGTTGGCAATAGTGCGGTATTCTTTGTCCTATTGTTCGGTGCGTTCTGCGATCGATGATGCGTTCTGACACGGTCGCCCGAGGCCAATTGCAGTGAAGGCAGATTTTCATTTTGGATCGTTGCTAATTTACCGCATCGATAACGCATCACCGTTGCAAATTGTTCTATTGTTGTATTGTCGAAGTAATGTGTGTTCCAGTTTTGCGGTCTGGTCACCTCGATAGATTTTTTTTTTTGTTAGTGCGATTTGGGCTTATGGCGCTTCGAGGTGGGTCATGAGGTACACGTGAATGTGTTGGGCAGGCAGGTCCGTTGGTTTGGAGTCAATGAGAGAGCTTAGTACCGGTATCCAGATTGGGGATTGAAGCTTTGTTGTCTGCTTGTAGGTGGCAGGTACTGGTTCGATGGAGCCGACTGGTAGCCTTGGACTGGAGTGGCAGTGTTTTGGAACTGTTGCTGTGGTGCCTGGTACTGCGGCTGTTGCTGAGGTGCCTGGTACTGCGGCTGTTGCTGAGGTGACTGGTACTGTGGCTGTTGCTGAGGTGTCTGGTACTGCGGCTTTTGCTGAGGTGTCTGATACTGCGGTTGCTGCTGAGGGGCTCCATACTGCTGGCTCGGGGCTTGATATTGAGGCTGTGGAGCTCCGTACTGTTGGTTTGGCTGTTGTTGGTTATATGTCTGTGGTCCCTGGAAAGCAGGATTCTTTGGTCGAGCAGCAGCTTCAGCGAACAATTTGGCGTGCAGATCGTAAGCTCTGTCAAGAAGATGAGTTTAACATTAAATAAGCTTTCAGTCAATATTAACGTGATAACTACTTACTCCTGCAGCTCCTGTGGCAGTGTTGGTGGAGTAGGTAGATGATCTCCGACTGGTTGGAAACCACCAGCATCAGCCTTGTATTGAACGCTGTACAATTTGCCATCTGGTCCGGTATAGGAATATCCTCCGGAAACGATCTGTTCTCCCAGCTCGGGTCCAATTTTACGATTGTAGCCCTCTTCCTGGTGCTGGATGCCATTACCGGTGGCGTAACTGTACAAAGCGATTAGATGCAGGAATGAAGCAATTAGTAGTAATCAAACGAATAACGAAAAATGAGCTTTGCGCTGACTGCTCTGTGCAGAGCCAGGAAAAACCTGAAGGGCCATTCGGCATCAGTCACTATAAAGTGATCAACAAATCACTTTAAAATAGAAATTATTAATTAGCGTCAGCGTTTATATCTTGATGGATGATGACGACGACGTGTAGTGCTGCTCGTCGGTGTTGAGGTGATTCATTGGTCTAGGTCGAGGTCGAGCGGAGAGCCACAATTGGATTGGATATAGCCCTAAGGCAGATGTGACGATCAGTGTGAACTTGTGCTGAGCTCGCACGAAAGCAACGTGCATGGATTTGAATAACGGGGCAATAATTTATTTGAGCGTTGGAGGTATGGCGAATCGTGTGCATGAAATTATCTCATAGAGGTTGGCAGGTTGGACGTTATTTTTGTTGATATGAAGACTTGTTGTTTCAAGTTCGGTAGAGTTTGATCCCGCACGTAATAACTGCGCTGGTTTTGGACAGTTGCTTGACATTTATTTGAATGGGTTTATTTTGAAGAGCAGAGAAGTACTCGCAAAAAGACGCTACATCAAGGTGATAATGTGTGTGGGAGTTTTGATGAATGAAGGAAATTGGCAGTTGTATCATCCATATGAATGCCTTTGCTTGAAGCTGATTTGTAGGTTTTAAATGGATTGTTGTTGCATGAATTCATTGCATTTTAAACTGCAAAAAATAAGATAACTACTAAGTTGAAACGATACGAAGACTGGATGGAGAAAAGATACAATTTCAATCAACTTTTTCAAGTATTTGACCCTGGGTGTAATTCATGGCAATTTGGTGGTCGATTGTTTTTTATACGGATGGATCGATTGTTTTTTATACGGATGGTTCAAGATTGGACACTCAAGTGGGAGAAGAAGTAACTGGCCTAGGGATAGACATATCGGTTCCTATGGGCAGATGGCCAACTGTGTTCCAAGCTGTAATCCAAGCAATTTTAGAGTGTTCTATTATATGTTTGCGTATAAATATATGCATAATGTCCGACAGTCAAGCTGCTCTCAATGTTTTAAAATCGGCGACATGTACATCAAAACTTGTTACTTTTTTATATTAAAACTTTTAACAGGTTTTTAAATTTTTAATTTTTCGACAACAATTTGTGACGTTTTTCAGTGTGTATTTTTATCTTTAAAGGCAATCTAGGTTCCTGTAACTTTGTTTAGACATCATTTCACGTAGATGAGCCGTTTCCGTGCTATAATTTATTGAAGAATTATTCGAATTTTCATGGAATTCAGAGAGGTAAAATCTAAAATTTGTTTGTTTTTTCACTAATGAGCCTGTTCACAAATAAATCATAATAATTTAACTCGACTTGCACCATTAGCAGTGATTTTAGATTTTCTTACAGAAGATTTTGAAGCAATTAAAAATAAGCATTCGGCATTATAGTTTCTCAAAATTGAATATTTGAAGTGCTCTTTTGTAGTATATCGTGTCGCTTGAGAAAAGTGTTCAGGTTTGAAACGCAAAACTACTCACAAAATTTAAAAAATTAATTGTTGTATATTGTATTTGGAGACAAAATGATGTTTAATAATAAGGCCATAACTCACAAGGCCAAATGGGTCATTTGTTTGAACATGGAAAAATGAGAGAAAGACCATTAAAACTGTTTTAGAATTTAAGAGGTGTGATTTTGTTTTAATTCAAAGGCCTGGAAATAGTTTCAATACATTCGAAACAGAACATTCAAGAATGCGAGACATTTATAATTCATTCAGATTTCGAAATAATGATTCATGACCCAGTGTAAAAATAATTGTTTATATTGTGGAAGTTTCAAAATACGGCACGTATTTAGCATTATTTTCATCAATCACTCAGTGAAATATGCAAGTTTCAGCTTCATGATTTTTGCTTTACACCCGAACACGACCCGAAACCTCCGTCACTGCTAGCAGCAGTAGCTTCGTCAATCTGCAGTCTACCATAGGTGACGAGTAAAGAAGGATAGCAAACTATACTTTCTCTTTCTAAGAAAACGATGTGCAACGGAATCATTTTTAGCGTCAAGTCAACTCTCAGATACAATTTTACACGTTGTGGATAGCCTCACAATAGCAAAGGAGCTTGTAAAATCAATATCATGCATGATATTTTGCTCCAATATCACGCGTGTTATTAAGAGTGTATGAGAGTGCAAAAATATCGTTTTGTTAATGATTATGTCATCACTGAAAACAATGTAAGAAAAAGTTATTATTGATTTTGAGTAAAATTGAAAAAAAAAACTAAACATAAAAATGTTTTTTGTTGGGTAACAATTCATGAAATTTTCATAGAAATGATGTAAAACATACGGTTTTCAAAAGGCTCTCAAACGCCAACCCGAACGAGTCTGAATGAGTTCTCACCATTAATAATTTATCGATAAATTGAAGTTTCAATCGTCCATAGACTATATGATCAGCTCTCGTAAGATTCGACTACTTTTTTAAATAATGAAAAAGTACAAAAATACTTAAAATTTACATTTTATTTAGTTTTTTTTTTAAACAAGCCAAATCATCAAATATTTAAGATCTGTTATCAATCATCTAGCATTGAACAGAAGGATCTCATTTACTGAGAAATATTGACCATTGATTATTTTGTTTACATATGATAAGGGCTTCTGCTAAATAGTTGAGTTTCGAAAAAAGAGCTCTAAATTATGTCAACGTTTAAACCTTTCCAATTTTTTAAAACATAATTTACCGTATTCAACCATTGCTTCTCTGTGCAGCATATATTTAATGGTACAAAAAACATCATAGAAAAGCTTATTAACAGTTTTTTTTTCTTATTTTAGCCAGGGTTTTTTTCTAAGTACCAGGTTACTCCACGAGTAACCAGCTCCAAAAAATCGAAATTATTCAGAAAAGTTTCAAAAACTTCAGGGAAGTTTCAAGACCTATAGGAAGTCCAGAGCTTTGGGGAAGTTTAAACATCTTTACGGATAAGTTCTGAGAACGTAAGGGCAGTTCCATAAACTTCAAGAAAATTTCGTGAACTTGATGATTGGAGAACTTCATGACAGTTCCAATAACTTCAAAAAAAATTCCAGGAATGGGTGACCCCGGCGTAGTGGTTAGCACCCATACCTCTCACGCTAAAGTCACGAGTTCAAATCGCACCCCGGATCAGTCACGAATTACCCAAGTGACTATAAAAAAATAAAAAATAAACATTTCAGGAATGTTACATGAGCTTCAAGAAAACATCCGAAATAATGTGTTAACTTTAGGGAAATCCATTCATTTTTTTTTTGATTTTTTGAGCCATTCGAGAAATAGATGGATGGACAGAGGATGTACTAAGAAACATGTCCTGAAATGTTCAAGAAAGTTGGGAGTTCCATCAGGAACGGGATCTTGAAAGAAGTTCCAAGAATTTAAGGAAAATTTTGAAAACTATATGTTAGTGCCATTAACATTATAAAAAAATGCGGCAGTATTTAAGAAGGTCAAATAATGTCATGTAAATTCCAAGAATGTCAAGGGAGGTCCGAATACTTCAGGGTAGTTCTGGCGACATAAAGAACAAACAGAACTACGGTGAAGTTTTGAGATAAGATTTCAAGAAGCAAGACTGGTTCATCTCTGATGGGGGCCTCCCAATTTAATATGTTTGCGAATTGGTGGATAGCCCAGAAGGGGACCTCCGAAAAGAGTTCGATGAGCAAAGTAACGTGAACGTTGGGGCAGTTCTGAGAACATAAAAGTAGCTTCATGCATATCAGAAAAATTTGGGGAATTTCTGAGTTCTGAGAGCTTTAGACAATTTTCGGGAATATATAAGGCAGGAAATGTAAAGAATTTCAAAAAAATTAGAGATATTCCAGAGAACATAACAGAAGTAAAAAACTTCACAGGAGCTCCAATAAATTTAAGGAAGTACAGAAAACGCTGGATAGTTAAGGTATCTTCAGAGCACTTTAATTAATGTTAGTGCTATTCTATAAATATCATCAAAGGAATAAGGAGAATTTCAAGGAAGTTCCAAGAACATCAGGAATGATTAGAAAACATCAGAGTGGTCCACACATTTTTTAGGAACTTTAAACAAGTTCCAAGGAATGAAAGCAAATTCTGAGGATTTCGGGGAAGATGCATGAACAGACTGCGGGATTATCAGGTAATATCTGAGACCTCCTTTAAAACTTCAGGCACTTCATGGAAGCTTCGAGAACTTCAAAGAGATTCAATCAGCTTAAAAAAAAAAAAAAAGACTACAGGAGATTTTGAGAAGTTCTAAGAAATTTAGGGAAGTCATGAAAGTTTCAGAGAAGTCCACAGAAAAAAACTGTGAATACTTCATAGAAATTACAAGAACCTCAGACAAGCTAGGTCCAGAGATCTTCAGACAAGCTCAGAGATCTTAAGGGTATTCTCAAAAACTTTAGGACAGCATGTCAAGGAAGTTTAAAGATCGGTAAGGGTTAGTTTCGATTAATTCTGGACAGCTCCATAAATTTCCGGAAAATTTCGAGAAACTTAGAGTTTAGAGAGTTCTGGGAATATCAGGAGAGTCTGAGACAACTTCTGAGAAATTCAGAAAGTTTCCTACATATTTTGGGAACTTTGCCGAAGCCCAGAAATTGTCCGAGAAAATCTTCACTTTATGAGAATTGCGCGAACTTCCGGTAGCTTCAAGAGCATCAGAGATGATCAATGAACCTCAAGGAACTTCAAAGCAGTTCCATTAATTAATTGCAAAAATGTCCAAGAATTTCAAAAAAAGTCTGTAAAATTACAAAAAAAATCAGGAATATTGCGTACTTTAGTTTTGTATGCATTCCCTTGATTATAAATATGGGCACTCATATAAGTGGTGTATAGATTCAATGTGGGCGGAGCAGAATGTGCTTAATCAGTGAGTAACCAGATTTAAATTGACTGAGTATTCCTTTGTGCGTCTGACAGAATGTGTTCCTATCGAACTGTCAAAATGCATTGCTTCATTCGATTGAATCGTTTTTTTTTTTAGGTTTTTAGTAACAGTCGTACATACTAAAGGGATTTACTGCAAATTTGTGCGAGAATTCGCTTATAATCGATTGTCTTTAAAGTACTGTGATCATTAAGAATAGTGTACCAAATGCGCTATAGTATTTGGTCAAAGGCACAATGCTTATAGAATTACACTTCCACAATTATAGGTGTAAAGGCAACGGAATGTTTAGGAAATACTTTTTATTTTTATGCAATTTTTGCTAATCGTTAAGATTGTGTTATAAAACAATATGGAAAGGATCAAAAACGCAATTTTAGACTTTTGACAATATCTCAACGATTGGATTCTCTATATCAAATCATACGGTACGTACGGAAAGGTAAATAAATTTAAAAGCCATCAGTATTAATAACATTCCGTTTGGTGCTAAACTGCGCTAGATTAAAGAAAGGCTAAATGCGGGTTGTGATTATTAGGCCGGAAATGGGGTAGTTAACCCTACAAGCTTGTCATGTAAGTCATGTCATGTAAGCTTACATGATGATCTTTTGCATCAAATAAACATTCATGTTAAATTATGTAGAATTACTTGTTCTCTGCTGTTAATTTATATGTTTTCATGAAAATGATGGAATTTTACAACATTTTCTTCATGTGTATTACGCAACTATAGGAGCGTTTGTCCTATATAAAACTGAAAGATACTATTGCATTTCCCACACTTAAAAGAGGGTAGAATTAATAAAGTTCAATACAAAATTATCAATAAATCTGTTTGTTGAAGAGCAACACTTGAGAAAACACCAGTCAGGTTTGAAACGATACATATTTCAATCTTTACATTTGTCGAAACTCTTAACGGAATCTCTTTATAGTGTGTTAGTTTATTTCCTTTTAATTCCGTTATAATTGCTTATATTTTGACAGATATGCGTATTTTATCTACTACTTGCAGACTTTATCATTCATAAAATAATGAAAAAAAAATCAAAACTGCTTTCAAAATTTTGGAAAAGCAAAAAATCTAAAACAGTGTTACGCAATACTCAAAAACTCAAATCCAATGGATGAGATTATGAGTGTTTTGGTTAAAAAAGGTCATTGCTTTAGATTTTGACGTTATTCAGTGAACTTAGTCGTGGGAAAACTAACAAAACATTCATGTGCAGGTCAACAATTGACGTTTGACGTTTATATCAGTTTTGCACTGGAATATTTATTTAGAGTTGTGAGTGCGTGAAAATGCATAAGATTCTCATGCTAGAAACGATCAGAAGTGCTCAATGAATGAGACTTTCGAATGCTTTATGAAGGCTGGTCTAGAAGTTCCATAAAATAGGCATCTATTCTAGGAATCTAGGAATCTGACTAAGAAGCCAATAAAATCTTCAAAATCACTTGTTTTCATTGACACTGTTAAATTTTCTGTTACAACTTTTCAATTTCTTGATGCTTTTTTATAGTTTCACCGGCGAATAAAATGTTTCAACTTACAATTGTTTAAAAACAACTTTCCACTATACATGCAAAATTTAGTTATATATGCCTATTTTTAGCTGTGTAAGCAATTCTGGAGCTAAATTTGTTAGTTGCGGTATTCTTATTGCTGAATCCCATCATGAAATCCGGCAAAAGGAAAAAAAAAAAAAAAAAAAAAAAAATGATCGAATCCGTAAATACGGATTCCGGACTGTATATTATTTACCATTCTGATGTTGTGAAATTTCGCATAAGCACAGTTTTTACACTTTACAATCACTGATAACTTCCACTCATGCAGTTGATCACTGATTTCAAAACGCTCTGAGCTTCACACCGGCACAGATAATGCTTTTTTTGTAGCCAGCACTGAAACCCAGTCCGAGTCAATCACACTCCAAAAGTTCATCTGTTTGACCTCACGTGGCTTTGATTGCACTTGAAACACACTTCTATCATACTCACTCGAAGCGATAGCTTCCATCACCGTTGTTCACGTTTTCATATCGCAGAATCGGGATGGGGGTGGTACGTGGTTGCTGGAAGCCTCCCTGGAATCCACCTCCGGGTTGGTTTGCACCGACTCCACTGTAAGATTGTGGCTGTTGTGGCTGTGACTGCTGGGGATTGTATCCAAACTGGCCTTGACCCTGGCCTCCACCAAGAGGAGCCACCGAAGGATATCCACCCTGGTTGCTGGCCTGGCCAGTGGGAGGCAGATATTGATTCGAGGGAGCTCCACCGAATTGGTTATTATCCTGCCGGGGAGTGTTCAGGAAATTTCCATCACCTCCACTGCCTCGGCTAGCACCAGGTGGAGCTGGAGCTCCATATAGGTTATCCAAACGGGCCGATAAAACACTTCCTACCAAAGCACACCACAGGATCTAATAAGAATCCATGGACGATATAAGAAAAGGAACACTTTTAGTATCCAGGAACATCAAATACAACGAAGAAACAAAGGAGCTACACGAACCGTTTGGCTTATCATGATTGATTACGTTTCGACACGATCAGGATGCTATTAGTAATTTCCGAACCTGATAACAGGATAAAGGAAATAGATAAATTTGCGTTCTTATAGATCGTGTGGCTCAAACACTTTTTGGGGAGCCAATGTGTGATTGGGATGAGATGATCGAAGCGACTAATGCTGGGAAAAGATGAGTTTGCGATTTTATACAAGCAGACAATCGGTTCTAACACCCGGATGATGGCGACCGTTCCAAGATTTGCGCGCAGTTCAAGAAAAAAAAGAAGCCCTCACTGACAAGAGTAGTTCGCCATTCACCACGCTCTTCGTGTGCCGCCTCGAAGGCATATCGCAACAAGACGCGCTTCACTCATCACACAATCATCGATCGTCGCGCAGCATCATCGCACGATCATCATCGTCATTGGCGTCACAGTCAGTGCGCACAGTGATAGTAGTAACAGGTGAAGATGATAGGATGAATCGTTAGAACTTGAGCCGGTTCCGCGAGAAGGTGTTGTGGGTGGTGGGTGGCTGAGTTGGATGAACTGTGTGCTCGGGTAATTGTTGTGCCTTCCAGGTCCATTCTTAACACTTTGCCGCGCGCCATGATGATGTTAGTTAGCATCATAAATATCGTTCGCTGGCTGAAAGTGATGCCGCAAAGTTGTCGATCAAAAGCTTTAGTACCTACCTAGCAAAATTAATAGAGCGTAGCGAAGATCGCGATCGCGTGTAAGATTTGTGTGCCGCTATTACCTGCTTACCAGGAATACGACATTGGTTTTTGGACTTGACGATTCTTTTCGGTAATTTTGATTGAAATTTAATGGTAAGCCGTAGGAAATTGAGCGAGGCATCATGCCTGGAGGTGATCAATGGTGGATATGTTGATTGCAGGATACAATAATTTAGCTCTTTGAAATTGACGGCATATTTGCCTCATAATACTGTGAACAATACCTACTAAGTAGTAAGTACGTAACGAATGGAGGGGAGTCGAGTTTGCATTACTTATTGTTACATAGGGAGAAGCAGGATCATGAAATGGACCTCTGGAAGATCCGGAACATCCGTAAAAGTGATAAATTCTTGAAACTCATCCTAGAGCTCCACTTTTTTTCAAAACCATTTCATAGACGTCTTATCAGTATGAATTCGGAGTTGTGATCAAAAAATAGCCTCCTGGGACCACGGGATGAAAGATCCAGAACACCCGAAAATGAAGTCAATTAATGAAACTGATCCTAGAGCTTTGCAGTTTTTTCGGAAACACTCATAGACGTCTCATCAGAATGAATTAGGAGTTTAGAGCGGATTATGAAATTTTTAGCAAACCACTTAAAGTATACTATAGTCTAATCAGTTAAATATGGTTACTATTTCCCACGCTAAAAAAAATACAAAATTCTCTAAAAAAGTACACAACTCGAAGGTCCCTTCAATATCGAGATGTATACAGGTAGAATGGGTTCCCTGCACTTTTCTAAGTAGATATTTCATAAATTTTCCATCCGATCCCCTGTGAATTTAATGAAGTTGCCAGGTGTATAATGCGATGTTGTATTTTGTTATTAAAAAATCAAAAAAATTGTAAAAATTGAGTACCTTGTTTCTAGTGTGTACAATTGGTTTTAAAAAAAATCCACAAAGTTGGCACCGTGGACACTTAAACAAGGTACCGTAAAATGGAGTATCTTTAATAATTCAGGTAGCTTTAAAAGCAGAATATAATGATTAAACTATGCACTATGTCCCAATTGGAAACATTGGTTCAATTTTGTAGGTAACGGTATTACCTTTGATATCGTATAGAGTTTTTAAAATAGAATGTGAAACATATTTTCCACATAAGTGAAAAAACAGTTTTTTCGTAGAAAAATCACCTATTAAATGTAACTTCGATGTAGCCATCACAAATTCAACGTTGTCTTCTTACTGTTTCTAATGTTTCTGATTCTCAACTCATTCAAAGTTTCGTTTTTTTCCTTGATTTGTTTTCCGTCCTGAGCACTAATGCTACCGACGCCAGGCAGGCAGCTCCCACACCTGGACCATACCTATCGACCAATCAACTCATGAACCGAGGACCAACGGCTTTACTTCCCTTTCCCGTGATCAGAGATGTTATGCCTCAGAACATCCCAGTGGCGCCGACTGGGATTGAATCCAGGCCTGCTGGGGTGAGAGATAATCACGCTTACCGCTACACCACCGGCGCCACATAGTTTCATATTTATTGAACTAAATTGTTTCGCCCATGTTTTTAATGCAAAAGAAAGTCTCGGGCATAAAACCAATTGTCCCGTATTCTTTAGACTCTAAACTATCATTTAAGACAAAAAAAAAAACAATATTTTAATCCCACTGCAATTGCCTAAGCCCTTAATTTTAGAATACACTAGACGTTTATGAGAGGAAACGTCATTTAAACCATTTGTTTGCGTCAAAATTCAACTCAAATTAACACATATTTTATGGCTCCTTTAGCAAATTTCCATCGGTAGTGATTTTATGTAACAATTTTACATAAATCTGAACTGATTTATAGTGTAACTAATCATACATCAAATATCCGGAAGATAATAACCGCTGGGACAGTTTTATAAATCTATTTTTTACTCGTAAAACAAAATTGTGTATCTACTGATACAGAAAACAAAATATTGGATGATGATTTCAAGCATTTGCGATGAATAAACTAATCTGGCAGGCGATAACTTGGTTCTGTAAAGTTATTCGATTAAGAATGTACAAATAAAATGATTTAAAAATGATCTGAAAATCTTGTCCATCAGGATGAAGGCAATTTAGAAATATTGTCAACTACTGGCAAAAATTTATAAATCTTATCGAGTTTCTGGCAAACTAATACTTCAACCCAATTGTCCAATGTACAATCTACAATGTTCTATGTTATTTAGCTGAATTACTTGAACGTGTAACTCCAACTTCTTCAGAGTATAAATAGCCATTACTTATGCCAGTTGCTAGCATTTTTGAGGTTCCTGAACTTGGGTCAAAAATCGTGATTGCTTAAATGGCGGAAAAAACTTAACGTACCGTAAGGGCCCATGGACATAAAAAGAAACTATAAAAATGCGAATATATGCATTTGTTCAGATAGTCAAGCGGCGCTGAATGCTTTGAAATCAAAAACTTACACGTCAAAACTGGTGTGGGAATGTACTAAACTATTACAGCAACTGTCCTGTCGAAATACGGTTAACCTTTACTGGGTTCCTGGTCATTGTGGAATCGAAGGAAACGAAAAAGCTGATCAATTGGCAAAAATAGGGTCATCCACGAAATTCATCGGTCCTGAACCATTCTTTGGACTTTCTTTTTGTGCTTTAAAAATGGAGCTAAAAAACTGGGAAAAAACAAAGGTACAGTACAACTGGACCAGTACCTTAAATTCTCGGCAATCTAAACGTTTTATAAAGCCGAACGCTTTTCATACACAAAAGTTACTTAATCTTTCAAAAAAAGATTTGAGTACATACACTGGTTTGATAACAGGACACTGTCCTTGTAAATATCACCTGAAAAACATTGGTAAACTTCATGAAGATAAATGTCGCTTTTGTAACTTAAAGAGTGAAAGCTCTGAACATTTGCTGTGTGACTGTGTTGCACTATTTCATAAACGATGCAGATATCTTGATAAGGGTCTGATGAGACCTTGGGAAATCTGGGCTGCTGCTCCCAATCAGGTAATAAATTTCAGAAGGAATGTATTACCTGCTTGGGATGATTGCTTACAACAGTAGTGGTAGTTACTCAAACAATAGTGGCTTACCGCTACGTTATGGCATAAATAAAAAGAGGATACACCACAATAGATCAAAGTAATGGTCGCGGTGGTATTATGTCCCCAACATAGGAAATAAAAAAAAGGGCCCATGGATAAATACACATTACTACCCATTCCTTTCTTGACCTGCGTTCGGGCGCGGCCGGCGCTGGTATTGCCTAGTTCGAGATCACCAGTTTTTACTCATTGAGGATGATTGCTAGTCCCAAGCATCGTCTATTGGTTCTTTGTGTAACTACAGCTGATCTGGCAATAACATAGAAGCAACCGTGGGCGGTCAATCATGCTCATGCGTAAGGGCCCATGCATTAATTATGTCACGCTAAATCGAGCATAAAATTACCCCTCCCCCCCTATAGTGACGTTTTTCCTATTCCTAATGCATTGCTTGTCACAAAATCTTAGAACCCCCTACCCCCTTAAAGCGTGACATAATGGGGGTGCATGGGGGTGAAAATGGGCCAAAATATCAAAATTTTTCGTGTCCTAGTTTACAGCATTCACTGTTTAGAAAGAAAAAAGGTTTTAAGCATGGAAACATATTCATCAATGATATATTTACGACGGTCATGGAAATGGTTGATTGAAATTGATATCCCATTTTACTAAAATTAAATAAATAAATAGACCAATGAAAAACGTTATGTGGGGTGAAACTGGGCCAAAACAAAAAATAGGTTAAAATATCTTAAAATATGTAAATGTAACGTAGCTATTATTAGTACACTTTGTTATAATCACAATGTTATTTTTATGTATGAATAAACATCACGCGTTACCCTCGTCTATCCACTTTAAAGTGTGTTCGAACTTTTGTTTGCCTATGGACATTTTTAAAAACGTGTTTTTGCTACTATAAATGGCACTTAACTTAACAACACAATTTAATAAAAAAAATGGTTAATGTTATCTTTACTTTACTCGAGGAACTTAGGAAACATTTTATAGTCATCATTTTCTGTATATTCAAGATATTTGCATAAATAAACATTTTTCAATGATGGCCTACCCAAGTAACAAATAAAACATCTTTTTGAAAAAGAATTAGAACGGATTGTTATATAAATGTATTATAAGTGATTCAGAAAACATCCCACGTTATATATGAGGTTTAAAGATGTTTTCTTCATACTTCTTTGATTCAACAGTTTCCAAAATAGTTTTCTTTTGCTTTTATCTTTAAATGTTATTTAAACGTGCATCTTACTGTTTTAATAGCACTATAAAACTTGTCGTGTACAAAATCAATCCAGATTGACGTAAACATTGACGGAACCATTGAGCCGGACTGTCTCTTTATGCAGTGATTGACAGTTTCTTATGAGGTTTTCGGAGGTTTGTTATAAAGAAAGTTGAAAACACTTTTTTATGACA